AACAAAAAGTGCTGTCGATATGCAATACTTTCCATGAGAAATCTGAATAAACGCCAAACGAACAACAGTTTTATTAGTTAGGGGCTGTCCATAAACTACGTAGACAGTTTAGGGGGGGGGGGGTTGACAATTATCCACGGCCCATACAAATTTTAAAAATTTTGTATGGACAATTGTCTACGCAGGGGGAGGGGGGGGTCAAGAATCCCAAAAAACTGTCTACGTAGTTTATGAACAGCCCCTTACTGCTAATCATAAAGGTTACGGGTTCAAATCCAACATAAAGATAAGCCAAAAGTAGATCCTTTTATGTTAAAAGTGACGCATAATAAAAAATCCTGTGTTGCACGGGATCCCGCGATTTGAAAATTTACTTCCCGAGATTCTTGAATCCATTATTTTTCTTCTTTTTCTTCTTCTTCTTACGCTTCTTAATTTTCTTTTTATTCTAATACTTTTTCGCATATCAAGCTTATTGCTTATTAATTGATAGCTTTTATATGCCTGTACCAATTTTGTATTAGTATAATTGTGTGGCAAGAACAACCATACTCTTTGCCCAGGGAAGTCGAGAAATCTTCCAACCAGATAAATTCCTAGACCGGACCGGGAATCTAATCCAGCCACCATCAGCATGGTCTTGTTTGGTTGCTGCGTTTTTACCGGCTGAGCTAAGGAAGGCCCCTTAGAATCCTGGTAATCGTAAAAATCCCCGATGGAAGCTTTAAATGGGAACTAATGTGAACTGATGGGAGCTAAATATTCAAAAGCCACAAATGCAGTTTCTATTCTTTCTATCGTCAAGTATTGTCATCTTATAGAAATTAACAATTCTTTTTCGTAACACATGAGTAATTGTAAGCTCAACATTGGCGTAGGTGATGGGAGCCTAGGGGCATGCATTTTTTGTAAACAGTTAAGTAAAACACTGTGCGACAAATTGATTTTCTTTTCAAGCACAGGAAAATGTATCCATATTTGACTATATCGTGGTCCCTTGAGTCAAAGACGAAAATATACTTATACCATAACACGTCTCGTCGGTACCACCCCCTTTATGCATTGAGATTATTTTCACATTTTTGCTCATATACTACCAACCTTATTATTAGGGTAGTTTAAAATATCGATTGTGCTCCACCATCCTAAATTGATTTTAAATCAGGTCTTGATCATTCTTCCAAAATTTGAGTTTATTTGGTTGCGAAGTTTATATGGGAATAACTATGGGAACAACTTTTTCTACTCAACGTCCAATCCCGAAAACGTCCAGCCCGGGATCGGGATAATCGATGCAGACTGTTAGGCTTGGATACCCTATGCTAAAATTTATATTCATTAAGACCATAGATGTCAGATGAATTACAATAATATTAATAAAATAAATAAATTAATGATCATTTACGGAAAATACTGCTATCTACTTTTATGTGAAATTTTATCAGCTACAACTTTGCTCCAGGCCCCTTTTTGATTAGACTTCCGGGTAATTAGTTATAACTGTCTGATATGATTAATAAATAGACTGCATTCAAGGCAACACTGCATCTCACACTTCCCTAATAAAAAATTACCATAATCGAACGATAACCCAAATGATTGAACTATTCCCCAAATGGTTTGGATGATACTCCGGACACGTCGTTAAGCAAATTAACCATAACATTTTTATTAGGGTTGTGAAATAGTAGCCTGGATTTTGTGCCCAATCATTTGCGCCAAGCACACCAATGTAGCCTGCTGAGCAGTTGAAGTCAGAAGGACATCATCTTCCTAATCATTTAATCACTAACTATCCTGCATGTAGTAATAAGCAAAGTTGTAGATGGGAAAATTTCACATTGGTACAGATTGCAATTTTATCCGTAGATCATTACAGCGACGGGCTAGAAAATGAGTACAAAAAGTTCACTTTTGCCACAGCAGTTTCCATATAAACTTGAAATGGTGAGTGCAGTATGAGTTTGCATGCTTAGAGCTCAAATTTAGGAAAATTATGAGGACCTCATTTGAAATCGATTGAGGGGGAAGCAAAATTGATAATTGAACCATAACACCAAGCATGTGGCGTTATTGTGGAAAAAAAAAACATTTGTAGAAAACAGTGTAGACCAGATAGGCTTTCGAATATCTCGGAGACACAGCTTCAGTACCTCCTTGCAGCACGTCACTTGTCTCATACACGCTTGTAGTTGCTTGTAGGTCGGTACAGCTTCAAAAAGAAAGCGGTATCGTAAAACGGGGTGTCTTTGATAATGTGGGTGTCGAAATCGAGGTGGTCGATGATTTCGTGTATTTGTGCTCATTGGTGACAGCCGAAAATTACACCAACACAGAAATTCAAAGGCGCATTATGGCAGGGAATCGTGCCAACTTTCTCCAGAGGACGCTCCGGTCGAATAAAATTCGCCGCCCCACGAAGTTGACTATCTACAAGACGCTGATGAGACCCATGGTCCTCTACGGCCACGAGACTATGCTTGTGGAGGACCAATGCGACCTTGATGTTTTCGAACGGAAGGTGTTGCGGTCAACTACGGTGGTAACATGGATGACGGAACGTAGAGAAATGAACCACGAATTGCACCAGCTATTTTGGAGAACCATTCATCGTCCACACTGCAAAAATTGGGCAACTACTGGACCTACCATCAAATGTGCTACAAACAACTGAACGGAGCCAAGTGATATGGAATACCAAAAAAATGTATTCAAAATACATATATTACTGCGGCGACTTAGCGACTCTCGCCCGTGCTCACAACTTCCGCCTTCCTTGCATCTGTTCGTCTCCCTCTTTGAACCGGGCTCCGCTGTTGTTTCTGGACGTCGTTTTCAGTTGTTTGATCTCCACTACTCTCCTCGGCTCCACGTGTGGCTGAAAATCTCCTTAAAAAAGACAACCAACCAACCAACCTCTCCTCGGCCGCGTCCATTTTGACCACATTTTTCTCCAGCACCTCCAACCCTCTCTCGGTTCTCTGGTCGTTGTTGTTCAAGGACGCACCTTATGCCACTACACCAGCCACTACTGCTGCATTGTTTTCCGTTGTGTTGCTGTTTTCCTAAGTCCTGTTGTTGTATCTCTGGTTCCTTCCGTGTCTTTCGCTTGGGGCACGAAATCATCCGGTGCTCGTCCGAAGCATTTATCTTTATTACCTTCATACAATATATTTCCCTTTCCATTGAGGAAATGTAGTGAGGTTTCCTTTCTTTCCCTCGTCACCCTGTGTAAATGTCGAAGCACAGGTCAGTTGTAAACTTCTTCCAGATTACTTCCCCTTATTTCCCCAATACTAACGCTAACTCATGGTCATGAACCTCTGGTGGAAAGTCATACACACGCACATATTGAATGTATTCCCCAGCATGCGACGTGCGTATCTCTGCTGTCTTTCTTTTTTTTTTCCACTGGATAATAATATTTACATTATATGACTAATAAAAAAAAATCACACGACTGCTTGTCTGCACTGAGTAGCAATTTCAACCAACGTTTATGATATTTCAATACTTCGTCATCAGTTGCCGTAACAGAGGTATGCTTGACAATGAGGGAGTGGAAGACAAGAGAGTAGTGACAGCCATGGCTGGTATCATTGTAGTGCTGGGTCAATCAAAAACTGCTTGAAAATTTTCTCAAGTATCGAAATGTTTTGCTATTCTTCTGTTGAATCCCACCAAAAACTTTAACTCAGAAATGCCCCCATGACTCTAATAAAGTTTGTTTACATTCTTGTTTTGCCAGAGTATGCTTTACCGTGGACCCCCGGTAATCTGACTGCTTATAATCTGAACAGTTTTTAGTTTTAACCACGCTAATCTGAACGTCGTGCAAATTAAAAATTACTCAAATATCATTTAGCAGATGGAATGGAGAAAACCGGAATGGAACGATGCAAAACGGAACGCAGAATCAAAACAAAACTGCAAATAAGGCTACCAAAAACTCCCTTTTTGATGGTCATAGGGTTACCAGAAGCTCATATTAAAAATTAACCCCGGTAATATGCATCCACGGCATTGGAATTGTGACCCAGCTGAATCATCAAAACTGCGCTGGTTTGTATGCCTTCTTTATTAAGCCTTTTAGTTTCTTTCGTTAAGCTTATAATTAAAAATGTGAAATGAAAAATTGAAAAAAAAATTGTCCTTAAATAGCATATAAATTGACAGCAAGGGTACAGATAGCCTAGTCAGTTGAGGCATGGAATTACCAAGCTGGAGGTAGTGGTTTCGATTCCCGATCCAGTCTAGAAAATCTTTCATGTTAAGTGGACCTTACACGACTGTTTTTATTGATAATAATTGTATTGTTAATACATTCTATTTTGACGTCAATACATCGGTATTGACAATATTTCTTACCGGGTGGGGTTCGTTTTAGACATTTTCTTTTCATTTTTCAGTATGAACTTTCCTGGGCATAGCATATAATTGTGCTTTGGCACAGGGTTCAACGTTAACGTCATCAAACGTTACGCCGTTAACATCTGCAATGCATATTTGCACTGAAGAAGAACACTAAAAGGAGTTGCCAGCAAGCATATATTTTAGTAGAATATATACTAGGAACTAGAAGGAGTGTATTGCTATGCATATGCATTTGTATAATAATATCAATTCACCTTCTTTGTATATTGAACACTCAAGATAACGCATACAAGGTGTAAGAAACAACGAATCGAATGAACGAGACGACGAAGCCCAAAAATAATTTAAAATAAACAAAGTTTTCATATTCAGCAAAGTTTCGACCATATACTGAAGGTAGCGGGATCGATTTACGGTCCTGTCTTAGAATTTGGGGTCATAATGTGTCATATCGGCACGCACAAATACGAGTGCAAAAATGTTACATGCCTAAAATCTAACAACTGTTGAGGGCAGACGTAAAATTCATTTAAGCATATTTGGTTTCATAAGCAATAGCAAACAAATTAATGAGTTTTAAATATTTTGTTTTCAGGAATACTCAATAATGCATAATTCTCACTCACCCTGAATGTGACTCATCATTTAAGAAAGCATCCAGTTTAAAATCTTTGCTCATTGTATTCGAGGATTCATTTTTGGTATCACTAGCACTGGCCAATATGGCCTCAATTCTAAACGAACTAGCATTATTAGAAGATTTGTTTCGAAAGCTAAAATTAGTGCACTGCACATCAGTAATTCCACTGGTAAAATAATTTGTATCGGTACATTTCACACTTCGATCAACATCAATATTTTCTGGTGATTCCACAGTCACTTCCATTTCATGTGACATTTTTACTGATCACTAAAATATAGTAAACTTTAGGAATACACTATTATTCATAAAAAAAATAATAAACACAGCGTACGCGTCGTATACCGTTCGGTGGTTTATGTTACACTGAAAGGAACAGAAATCTCATTGGACAAAGAGTACGAATAGACGTTATTGTACAATCGCATGTCATGCGCACTGAAGAAGTGATATGATTGGCTCCGATGGAGCACCCTAGTGTAAAGGCGGAGATAAGTTAGATTGCAGGCGGAGCATCGATTTGTTTTTACGCAAGCATCATGGAAGAATATAATCCTGTAATTGGTTCTATAACAAACACGTTAATTTCAAATTACCGTATGATGAATACCAAATTATATATTTTAATTTCGATACTCTCTTAGCTATATCACTTAATACTAAAGGTTCAACACAAAATCTGATACAGCTCACTTATATCTTGTCAAATATACGTTATATCTATAAGTTTTCTTGATTTCACTGGTTAGAGCATTGTAATCCTATTATCTACTGAACCTTTTCATCGAATCTTGTCTTTTTGGCATTTAGTCATTTTAGAATGTCAACCGACGGGATATCGTTTTATCAATCAAAATGGAACATTTGTGAAATAGATGTAGTGAGGCATCTTCTTCCGTAGTCCATAACAAAAAATTCCTGTTTTTGATCAAGTACGTATGATCATCAACTATTCAAAGGTAAAATATGGATAGGGTAATTTGCTAATTGTTGCACAGCTAAGCACACGCTTTTTGTTATTTTGCGTATTCACGAGTTTAAAAACGTGTTTGAAGTAAGAATTCTTCAAGAAATATATAAATATAAATTCGTAAAAAACTGTCTTACAAAAATTCTTTTGAATGTGCCTCTTTAGCATTAATTGCATTAAATTCTATTATTGCACACTTTGTACCTAATTATTGCACACCAATTGAATATTGCTAACTGCATCTTAGAATTAATTTCATCGGCAAGAAGAATAATTCAGTGATTCTGTTAAATGATTAAACGTTCATATCAGTTATTTTACTTATTTTATTGAACCGGTCAAATATAGAAGGTAACAGCAGCTGTCGTTAAGGCGCAGCTACCAAGCAAGACCATGCTGGAGGTGGCTGGGTTCGATTCCCGGTTCTAGTAGAAATTGTGGAGAAATTTCTCGACTTTCCTGGGCATACCTAGATTATGATTGTACTTGCCACACAATTATACTAATGCAAAAATGGTACAGGCATTGAAATCTATCAATTAATAACTGTGGAAGTGTATCTCTAGAACACTAAGTTGAGAGCACGCAATAAGGTGATCTAAGAGACGTTTCTCAGTGAAACTTACAGCTATAAATCTAGGATGTGTGAGTGATCTGGTGTTCATGGTGCTGAATGTAAACATAAACAAACCAGAAATTCATATGAGAATAAACTGCCAGTTCTACTGTGATCTGTCAAAAGTTCTTGGTAAACAAAAAATTCAGCTGATCGCAACTGTCTCGTGGATAGCCTTATAAGCTAATATGCGATAAGCAAGCTTGACATGCGAGGAGGAAGAAGAAGAAGCTGTTCTATATGAATCGTTGCATAACTTTAGGCGTTATACCCATTAACAATATTCCAATTATTGATCATTAATGTTTTTCCTGTAAATTTAAAATGGTTGATCGATGTGATGTTACAGGTTGTTGGATAAACGAATAACCAACATTTTCCTGTACACATTTCATGAGTTAATTGAATTTTAAGCTAGTAATAGCTTATTTTGCAACTGAGGTTTATTAGCTGAAAAATTAAAAACTCGCCTGAAATCATACGAATGTCACAAATATTTTAAACATGTTTAATCACAATATGTATTCCTAATTTTGAATATCATAAACCATGTTTTATCATTCATAAATTGAACAATGTTAACATGCCATCACGATCAGTAATCGTTATGGTCATTGATAATTGCAACACAGCAAATAATGTGAAGTGTGCAACAATTGGGTGGTGTGCAAAAAGTTGGAAAATTACCCTTATTCATTCTAAAATTGCTCATTGAGCATTTAATTAGTCCAAATAGTGGTTATGACGACCCTAAGCCATTGATATGGATACCTACAATAGTTAACTCTGTTTAACAATGCATAGTAATCTAGAATCATTAGTAATGAATGTTGTAATAACATAATTACACTAATCTAATCACAAACAACCTAATGCTTCAATATAACAAGAGAGGTAAATATCCTTAAGTAAATAACAAGAGAGATTTTGTATTTTAGTAGCAACTAGATAAATAAGTAGAGATGTAAGAAATCTATAAAAAAGAAAAGTGATGTATAATTTTACTTTTCATGTGGCTGGCAGCTGTTTCGACCAAATGACCAATAGGTTTCAATACGCCATTCTGAATTTGATATTTTAATAATTCTTCTAAATGTTTGTCTTGAATTGAATTCTTAACTATGTTGTCATTGCCATAAATTTCATAAACATCGGATTTTTCTTCACCAAAAGTTTGTGCTTACATTCCTAAATCTGTTTTAAAATATTGTATCGGTTTTTTTGTGCAGTTTGGCATGGGAAGGTTTTGAACACCTTTTCTCAACACGTCCGCTGTTGAGATTGACTGTCAAGATGGCTTTGAGACTCCATGCATTTCATCCATGATAAGAGGTTTCTACTAGTTAGAGTTACTTTATAAACTAAAAAGAAAATTCTATAGTCTTGTATTACTTTATCAGTTCCTTTCTTTACATAATTGATAATTGACTCAAATTTAATTGAAAGATGCCCTGAAATGGGAAAAATGAGCGTTGTACGAGTTTGCATAACCGTGCAGGATACAGGTTTATGAACTGACGAAGACGTATGAAGCTCTATCTCTGAAAGTAATAGTTTAGGCAAAATAGTGTAAAAATTTACTTCTGTCTAATCGTTCATTTTTGCCTATCGACCAGAAATCATGAAATATGTCTATGATGTTAGCATTAAAGATTCATTTATACGCTTGATATGATACTTTAGATCAAAAGCTACAACATAAAGTATTAATGATCGCAAAGTAGGAATACTTACACTCTTTGTTCTCAAAAATACAAGAAGCAGTCCATGCGAATCAATTTTTGTATTGCATTTTGGCCTTCATTTTTACGACGAAGTGATTCCAATGGAGTTTCAATGTGTTTATACGATATTGAAACCCGTAGGCCGAGTCTTGAATCTAGAAGTGTTGTTGTATTTGTAACAAAATATAAATAATTTGTGACTCTTTATCCCAATTTTTATCGTAATGCAGGGACACATTTAACACATCATATTGTGAATTCATTAAGCGAAATTAACAAAAATTTTGTATTAAAAACAATGGCTACAGTAGAGACCTTCTATCGTTCTGCATAATTACTTATCATATTGCGTGTTTTGTTTATTTATACGACATTTGGGAAATCTCAAATTTTAAAATATTGTTATGGGGTGAAACTGATCAATCCCTCAAATGACTTTCGAGTCTACTACCAATTCTTAGTAGTTTAAGATATCTGTAAATTGCCGACAATAGCATTGACTTCTCAATATTAAAAAAACTTTTCACCGCCATTTTGACGTAGGACTACGTCTTTAATTTCTATACTGGGGGTCACATTAAAAAAAAATCAAAAATCAGACATGTAACGAAAAATCCCAAACACAGACGCAGCGATAGAGCGCGAATCGAACACAAGACATTGCGCATGCTCACATAAGTGAGCTCAATTCTCGATTGACTGCTCACCATTTCACCAATAAAAGGAAGGGAGGAGAAAAGCATAATAGGAAATTTAATTGATAATTTTATATTAATCAAATAACTAAAGATAAAAAGATACCTATGTATCACTTGTAACAACAAACATGTAATCCCACTAAAAACAAAAGAAATAAAGATCAATTTAAGTGAAAAAAAGCAACGATAATTAAAACGCTTGCCAAATCGTTTTCTTCGTCATTTGCTTTCGAGCAACGGACGGATGAGCGTCGAACACGAATCGCACCAATACGAAGACAAGACGACGACGAAAGGTGTGGCCACCATTTGAAAAACAACCGGCCCTTTTCATGGCTACCAATTCAAAAACAGAAATAGTTAAGATTTAAATGACCAACGTATTTGTTCCGTCCACTAGCGGTCCGACGTCAAGCTTCCGTTCGTGCTCCTAAGCACAGACCCTTCTACTTTTTATTTATTTATGGAAACCGTGAATAATAGAACCGTGAAGGTCGGTTATTCCACGCACGTAAGGCGAGACTAAACTATTTATTTCTGCAGAAACTCTGAAAAGAGATACAATTTATCATTTAATAGATTTGTTATCGTATTTTCATTAAAAAAAATTAGATGTACAAAAATTAACACCAAAATTACAAAATTTGCCTTAAAAAATGTTGTGACGGTGCACATAATTCCGCGCACTGATTTGAGCGTTGTTTATAATTATGCTCATTAATGTACTTAATAAATTCACTTGAAAGGCTTGTATCACTTCAAGGATATAATTTCTCATTATAAGGTTCAGAAAATAACCGATTTTGTTGTGTAAATCGCCAAATATAAAAAAAAAATTGAACCAGTTAATCACAGAATGTAAATATGCTGCAGCTGTTTTACATAGATGCTGCATAACTTTAGGCGTTATCACAATGGAAAATAATCCATGATAATTTACTCAAATTATTAAACGTTACTTGCTGCATTATTTTTGGCATTTTTGCTGCATTGTGTATTTAACCTTCAGCTTTTCCAGAACATTCTTAAAACTTTCGACGGAGTAGTAGATCATTTTTTATACGGACATAATTCTTATGCAAGTGAGCGGAATTATAAACACTAACATATTGAGCTTTGCTTTGGTTGATAGACTATCGTGAAAATATTCGATTGTAAAACATTTGTTCACACGTCAAACACAAAGGGAAACCCTCATAAACAAATACCACAAATGAACTGTATCCCGAATGGGTAAACTATTCCACAAATAGTTTGGATGATACCCTGAACATATCGTTGAGCTCTCTTTTATGGTTATTTTTATTAGGGAAAGCATATAAACAAT